TCTTTTTATCTCAAATAGATTTACCTATATTTGTACTCTCAAAGTTACAGCTCCATTCAAAGTTTTGATTCTACGCTTTCAAAAAGTTTGTGACTAGTCATCATTGGAAGTAGTAAGAATAGCTGTGGCTTTTGCCTGTCTTTAATAGACAAATTATTAGAGCATTGAGTTGATAGATTGTTCAGTTATTGATAAGACTCCTGAAAGTTGAAGTTTACAGCAGTGATGTAGAGGATGAACTAAATTCATCTCTAACGAAGAAGAGGGCTGGAGTGGTCAATGTGTTTGGTGAGTATAAAAATTGTGTGAAGTGTTGCTTAATCACATTAGTTTTTTTGAACATATATAAGAATTAGTGAGCCTTCCTATTTGGTTGTTTTGGTGCTGGAAAAGTAGTATTCTTGTCTTATCCAAGTTTAAACAGAACAATTTTTCTTTCCAGAGTTGGAACGAGTTAAGGTCAACGATAAGGTTTGTGAGGTAGGAGATTTTCTTTCACTGGCAGCCAAAAGGTCCGAAGTCTTTTTAAAATTGCAGCATTTCAATACATCATTGTACATTCATAAGAGGATTTTTTAAAAATTATTCGTTTTCAAATGTATCTTAGCTGGACAAGCTGGATGACGAAAATGTATTCCCTCAGCTAGATGACAGTCAGCGACGAGCTCTAAAGCAGGCACTTACCAATGAGTTGGCTATCATACAAGGACCTCCTGGGACTGGTATTCTTTATCATGCAAAAAATTGGCTTTGTTTCATAAAATAGTAGACTTTGATATCTTTATCTTTAATATATGCATAGGGAAAACATTCATCGCTGTTGAAATTGCCCGGATAATGCTTCAAAACCGAAATCGATGGGGAATTACGGAACCGATGTTAATCGTGGCATTTACGAATAATGCCGTTGATCAAATAGCTGAATGCCTTATAAGAAAGGTAGGTTTACTGCTAGAACTGGGAGCTTTTATAACGAGATCATTTAGGCTCACTCTGATATTGACAAAGGTTACCTTACCCATGACGGATTCCCTATAGCTGCACGATTGGGCTCAAAATCAGAAAATGATTTGCTCAAAAGGTATAAATATGCTTAAAATACTCATTTCGCTTGCAATCTACCGAAGTACATGTGTGTTTAGTGCTAGATTTTTGAAGAATGACGTGGTTAGGGATTGGTCTGTGGATCTCAATACGGAGAAGGTCATTAAAGAAGTTGACCGGGCGTTAAAGGATAAAAGAGAAGCACGTGAAAGACTTACAGAAGCCGCTTGTGTATTGTTTGTCTACAAAAAGTAAGCGACTGATGAGATCATGCGTGGAAGTTGATTCACATTCAAAATTTACCGATCTGGCATATTTCCAGAAATCTCATTAGTTATCAAGCCCTTGCTAAAGTTATGCCTAAAAATTTCAAGTCGGAGCTGAACACTTGGAAAATCACTCACCGTGATTCATCTGGATATGAATTGGATGTAACATCTTGTTCAATTTTCCTTAGTTGGTTAAACTAACTTACAACATCACTCTAATGTAGGACGATGAGGCTTTGGCTTGTTGGTTGCTCGACAAATCCTACACTAAAGAAGACAGTAAGATGGACTTATCGAAACTTAGCGATGATGAGGTCGACACGGAGCAGGTATCACACAGTTTTTTTGATTTATAGATTTATTCATTCATTTATTCATGGAAGCAAGAGAATACCAGAAGGATTTAGATGGAAAATCAATGAAATGCATAAACGGCATATGATGAAATACAATAAGAAAAAAGGACGAGTAAAGGCACATAGAGGCAAAAAAAAATCATGAACAAAATTGCAGTCGGTGAGGGAAAAACGGCACACTGTGCAAGTAGCAAGTTTTTCTTGTCTTATCCAAGAGATATGCTCTCTGTTGCATAAATATGCTTTTTTGTAGCC